GAGAGCTCTGCGATGGCTGGCAGCTAACCTCGTGACAAACATCTCCCCGTCATTTTGAGAAGGAAGGGTTTTTCCAGAGTGCCCCGGGTTTGCTGGAGCAGTGCTATGCTGCACAAATGCCAGCTCTGGAGTGTCTGCACGAGGCTTGAATTTCATCAGATACTCATGAGAAGAGATGCGTTGGTGATTTGGCAATGCCTCCAACACCACAGTGTATCAGACAGCTGAAAAGGCAGCAGCTCTCCGGTGCCATCTTAAACAGAAGCAGAGCCAGGGCTCTGGATCGGATAGACTGACTCCAAACTGAGCAACACACATGAGAAAGAAATCTAGATCTCTCATCCCATCTGCCTGAGCTTCCACCACCAAAGGAACTCAAGCAAAATGCCCTTCTTCTGCTCCCAAAGCTCAGGGCAGGCTGTCAGCAGGATTTTTGAAAAAGACAGAGCCCATTTAAAATAATTTTAAAATCGTGTTCAAAAGTGACACAGTCCTCCCAAGGCTAAAGGCTACAATTCAGGTTGTGCTGACAATTTAACACAGCCTTCTTGCCTTTCAAAGCCTACTCTCTACAGGCACGTTTTTCATTCATGATGAGACATGGAACAACAACACAAGCCAGTCCTTACATCCTCCAACCTCCTCCTCTGCTCCTTCTGCTGGTCGATCCGTTTCTGCCGCTCCGTTAGCAGCTGCTTCTTGTATTTCTCCTGGTCCTTCAGCTGCTGCTGCTGGCGATGAGGGTCAGAACGGTTTTTGTTCTCCTGCTGCAGCCTCAGAAACTCACGACGGAGAGTTGATTCCCCCGGGAGATTAACTATGGAGCTGAAAAACAGGGGAGGTTTCTATATGACTAAACATAACATTAAAGAGAGAATATAAGGTGCATTGGGAATGGCTTGTCCTGCGTTAGCAAATTAAGATGTTCCGATAAATCTCCAGCATGTTGACTATGCATCTGCACTTACTGTGCTACAAAACAGCCTGAAGCTGATTATTGGGTCCTTCATTTGAGAGTTTCCTTCCTATTGCAGGGGAACTAAGCAGCAGCTTATTGCAGACATCTCATACCCAGTAGTTACATCTGATAGCTACAAAACAGCTACAGCTACCAGAGGGGATATAGGAGATAAGGGATTCAGAGCAAGTTAAGAAAGCCATTCTGCCTTCAATGAGAACAGCTTGGGTAGTCAAATTTTCTATTCCAGTAATAAAATTAACCTTGGTTCTCCTTCATCTTCATTCAGCTCATCATCTTCCTCCTCACTTCCACTGTAATCATAGTCCGTTTCTTCTAAAAAAAGAGAACAATAAACAAACCCCAGTGGAGGATGCTGTGATTTAAGATACGATCTTGAACTTTGATTCTGAGC